TCATTATAAAGCTTCACAATTTTAGATGGCATTTTAAAATAAACATGCATACATACAACATACATAAGAAAAGATTAAAGAATGTTTACTATTAACTGACTGATTAATGCTTAATCAAATATACACTCACAAATTAGAAAAGGCTGCTTTCTGAGTTAACTGGGTCTTTCAGAGTCCACTCAGGAATTAGAAAACTTGACTGGTAGTTCACTGACGTAAGAAAAAAGAATGTATGGCATCTAACATTAGACCCTCTTGAAAGTACAGGAAATTGGGAATGTCAGCTCATCTGTGGCAGTTGCAGAGTGGATGAGCCAGCTGGCCAGGCAAGCAAAGGGGTTCAGTGGGACTAGGGGTATGGCTCAGTAGAAGACACTGCCCAGGGTGTGCGAGGCTCTGGGGTTGAACCCAGCACCACCAAAAACAGTAAGATAAAGAATTCAGTGACAAAATATGAGCCAAGTGATTATCTGCTGTTGTTGTCCACTTACTCTTTGCCTCAGAAAGCCATGCTCCATTATTTTCCTAATTCTCCATCCTCCCAGCCTTGATTCTCTGAACCTGTCACTGGTACTGTCACTTCATCCGCTTGGCTTACTGCTTAGATCACATCTGACCACAAACCTTTGGAACACTGCTTCCCAATGCAATCTCACATACAGCAGTCTCTCATAAAGGCCCAAAACACGAGGTGAGAAATCATTACTGAGGCTTGTATACTTCATACCCACAATTCCCTCTGGTATAGCCCTGTGGACTCTTGAGACATGATTACCTCATGAATTTTCTAGCCTTTCACACTTAATCCAACCCAGTACACTCAGTTATTTAAAGTCAGTCTTCTGTGGCAACAGGGACATCTTGCCATTTCGTACTGGGTGTCATCACCTGTCCACACTGCTGGAGGCTATTTCAGTATAGCTCATGTTATTGAAGAAAATCAATGAGTGATGGTTAGAAGCTGGAGATACAATACCACCTCATCCAGTTTCTGAAAATGAGTCAACTTTGAACTATTTAATCAACTATTTACTAAAGGAGAAGGCAAAAACTAGAAGATAAAATCCTACACTATTTCCAGGATGTTGCCAAAATGGTCACAGAGAACCCTCAAACGTGTCACAGACTGTTAGATATAAGGTCTGATCTGACACTACAAGATGAGAAGTGTCATCCGAACTTTTGTTGAAGGAAAATAAAGATCACCCCAGCCTATCTGGTCTCACAGCATGTGTACTGGGTCCACAAACATAACCAGATGGCATTTACCCAGTACCTGTGTATAAAACTGGTACAGACAAATTGGTTGTTATCATAATTGTTACATTGTTTCCATGGTTTGTAGCCAAATAGAATGTCTTAAAACTGCCCTCTTCCAGCCACTAGCCAGGACAAACCAAAAACCATAACCTACGTAGGAAAGAATGGTAGGGCTAGTACCATTTTAAAAAACTCAAGAGAAAGGGTAGGGATATATCGCTGGTAGAGTACTTCGGAGTTTGTTCAAGGTCCTGGGTTTGATCATCAGCATTTGTTATCTAACAATTCCTCCAAGATTATAACATTCCATCCTGCAAGAAGCTCTTTAGACAGGAAGGTAAACAACTCAAAACAGCTCCAGGAAGTCGGCAAAACCAAGCAGATTCACTAAGTCTTTCCCTGCTAGAATAATAAAAACTGAGAGTCCCTCTCAGAAGAGCAGAGTCAAGCACCAAAGACACATCTGAGAGGAGGAAAACTGCAGAGGTCTGAGAGGGCAGACCAGCCACCTGGAAGAAGCAGGAACCAGCCAAGCTGTCTGAAACAGGTTTAGACAAGAGTCACTTGGAAAGGATACTCTCCACCTGCTGAGCTACCTGCAGGCTGTGCAGTGTGCTCTGGCTTTCCCAGCTTTTGTGAGCTGCCACGAGTGCTGGGGTGGACTCTGTGCTCCTGTAAGTAACTCCAATAAAATGCACTGGTTCACCAACATGGACTTTGGTGGTATCCGTATTTTGGTCTGTGGTGGGTTCTCTATCTGGGGTGAGCAGATGTGTGTGTTGCATGTCCCCAGGAAAAATCTTGGCACACAAGAGTATTTCAGATCAACAGACATCAGATACTCTGCACTGGGAAGACGAGGGTTCCATGTAGGGTACACTAATGACACTTCTTACCACATTTTCATTCAATTCAGTCGTCTGCTACTACCACAGACACCAGACGGAAAGTAGAGAATGACAGAGGACTTCCACACACTCAACCAAATACAACAGTCTCAATGACAGCCACTCTGCCTCATGGGCTGTTTGCAGAAGAAAGGGATACTTAGCAGGTAGAGCACAACAACTGATATGGAAAGTCTATTCTTTCCTATCCCAATCAGGAAAAAGATCAAGGACAGCCTGCATTTATGCAGACAGCAGTATACATTTACAGCTCTGCCTCAAACCTCTGGGAATCTATGGAATCTTATACCAGTCTACTCCATCAACTAGAGTGTCCTTAAGGTGGTGAGGTTAATCTTAAGAAGAACCCAGGGTCTTGCCATATCAGTCAGTTTTTCTCAGATCAGCAGCTAAGTAATGCCAGGGTATTTTCTCAAGGACAAATAGTAGGCTGACAAGACGATTCAGCAGGAGAAGTACTTGCAGCCAGACAGGATGACCTGAGATCCTACCAGGATTCACATGTTAGATAGAAGGAGAGAACCACTTCTGCAAGTTGTCCCCTGGACTGCCTATGTGTGCTGAGGGCTGAGGTACATATGCCGCACACATAAATACAAATAAATAAATGGAAACGTTTAAAAAACAAGATTCTGGGAACACAATCCAGAACACCTAGTGACCCTAATTCAGTTCCCAACACACATGAGCATGTGCACAGGCACGTGCACACACATACACAGAGGAATTACAAGGGTCAAGAACCATCAAGCAAAAACAGTCACTGCCTTAGAGGCAGCTGAACCTGATCATATGAAGGAGGAAGGCTGAACATGAAACCTGGAGGAGCACCTCTAACACAGACAACATGCAAAAGCCCTACCCCTAACGCACAGACAACATGCCAAAGCCATGGGTAGTCTCTTGCTATGGTCCTGTCTACTTGTTTGTTCATTTTCTTTTGAGGCAGAGACTTCCTATGTACTCCTAACTGTCCTGGAATTCCTGATCCTTCCTCGGACCCTTGGGGACAGGATTACAGGAAAGCATCGCCATGCATGAACTTGTCCAGTGAGTGCAAACAGGCAAGGGTAGCGAACGGAATGGTAACCGGGGCTGAGACTGAGTCAGACCCAAGAAAACCTGTCACTAGTGATAGGCAAAGAATCCAGTGTGGAAGAAAGGCAGGGAGAAGCTGATTCGTTGTGCATCAAGAGTCACCATGTTCCGACCGCCTTCCCACAGAAGCTCCTCCTGAGAGAGACACTTGGGCAGCCTGAAGTTGCTGCTCCCACACATGGATGAGTTAAACAAATGGTGGGATGTGGGGGAAGCTTTGAATCACTGCCAAAGTCCCCAGAAGGAATAGGATCTCTGCCTGAAGCTTTGGGAAGTGGCCAGGAGCAGCCTTTATCTGCAGCAGCTACAGAGGACAACATACAGAGCCACACGCCCAGAGCAGGTGTCTCCAATACCTAGCAGTACGAAGCTGTAAGACCCTCTTTTCTAGTGCTCCTCACATGGAAGCTGATGCCTCCTGTGGTTGTCTGAAAGAAAATGGCTCCCAAAGGGACTGGCATTATTAGGAGGTGTGGCCTTGTTGGAGGAAGTATGTGACTGTGGGGGTGGGCTTTGAGGTCTCTTTTGCTCAAACTTCCCTCAGTGTGACCGTCAATTGACTTCCTGCTGCCTTCTGGTCAAGATGTAGCCAGCACCACATCTGCCTGCACACTGCCATGCTCCCTGGCATGATGATACTGGACTGAACTCTGAAACTGTAAGCCACCACCTCAGTTAGATGTTTTCTTTGTAGAGTTGCTGTGGTAATGGTGTCTCTTCACAGCAATAAAAACCCTAACTAAGACACATCCCAAGAGACTGAACCGTGGCCTGACACTAGCCTCTGCCCATTTCCCACTCCTCCACCCTTCCACATGTGTGATCCCGGCTTCACAGTGGTCTCTACCCCAGCTTGCTTTCCAAAGAACAAATGGCAATGCACCCATCTCTATTTAAGAACAGCTGGTTATCAATAAGTAAAACAGCATGGTCAAGCTGTGTGGGTGGTGCGGACCAATCTTAGGTGTACAAGGGAATTCTGACATAACCCTGAGATTGCATATCACTCTTTAGGATCTACAGCTCCTTAGGGACACAATCCAGAAAGCATGTATTTCAAATTTATTGTCAATTCCACTGAAAATGAAGGCCAGTGTCACAATCCAAATATTTACTATACTTACTTATTATGTCACTATTTTAAGCAATTTACAAAATGTATTTTAAAAACTTTAGTATTCTAAATGCCTCTGAAAAATAAAGGAACAAATGTCAACTAGAACGAACACACACACACACACACACACACACACACACACACACAC